CTTCAGGACCTCATGGTCATTTCAACTGACCTCAGCCTTTGCAAATGGTATTGCCTCTGCTTTTCCACACAAAAGGATGAGCTCAAACAAATGCCCCTTCTATTCTTAATGTAAATGTTACTCCCCAAGAAAAAAACTTACCTACTACATAAATATTTCAGGTATATGAGTTAAAAAAAAATTCTTGACAGTCTTCATCTTCACTTTTAACATTTATCACATATTTATTTTTTAAATAAATTTTAGATTATGTTTATCACAACCACTAAAATATAACACTTTGCATATATTATCTAGTTATTATTTTTAAAGTGACCTTATAAGAGGAATCTCTCTCTAAACTAGTTAGGTATAACTGTTTTACATTTAAGGAAAGAGATTAAATAACTTTGATTAACATTACACACCCACTAGTCAATGGCACTGTTTCAAACTCAACCTTCTGTACTTTTAAAGCTTATGGTACTAATTATTAATCATCCCATGATACATGCACTGTGATATCAGAAAGAAACCTAATCTGGCAGATGAATACGTATGCCAAGGAACACAAGCAACATCTAGAAGCTGAAAACAGCTCCCACCCTACAGCCCACAAAAAATTTAAATAATAATAATAATAAAAACACAATGATTTCTTTCCAAAACAAGAATGAGCTCTTTAAAGAAGACTTTTTTCCCAGAGCATCCAGGTAAAACTTTACCCAGGCCACACCTGGATAAAGTGTTTTGAGACATTCAACATTCTGAAGAAATGAATGGATGTTCAGTTAATTATTAGGTATTGTTTTAACTTACCAAGTTTGAGTAATTTGTTATGCAGCAATAGAAACTATCCTAAATAAACACTGGTGAGTGACACAGGGGAAATCACCTACAAATTATATTTCTTATTAATAACTGATGAGCCTAACCAAGTCATTTTAACTTTCTTGGGTTTTAGTTCTTGAATATTTGAAATGAGGTTGGATCAGCTAAGTTATAAGTTCCACTCAAGACTTTCACAAGTCCCAAGAATTAATTTTTATCTTTAAACAAATATTGTGGGGCTGGGGTTGTGGTTCAGTGGTAGAGTGCTTGTCTAGCATGCATGAGGCACTGGATTCCCTCCTCAGCACCACATAAAAATAAAACAAAGATATTGTGCCCACCTAAAACTAAAATATTAAAAAAAAAACCTATTGTGGCATGCCTTGATCAAGCATCTTCTCTCCACTACAAATTCTTTTTCCATCCTTCTGTAGGCTATATTATGTCCCATGAGGCTGGCTCCTGAGAACTCAATCAGTGGGTTCCCTTGCCCCACTGATGGTACAATAGGAGGCACCAGAAGATCAGAGATATGAAAAAAGAGTAGGCTGAGTATTCCTTGACTCCCTAATGAGGGCAATATGCTAAGGAAGAATTGATCCCTAACTTAACCTGGGAATGTGGGAGCAGGTTGATGAGGTGCTATGAACAAAATTGTGTCCCCCACCAAATGCATGTGTAGAAGCTCTACTACCAGTATTAATACACTGCTGTGAGGGCTCACGTGTCCTGCATGGGAAGGGAAAAAGTAAATCAAATGAAGGGGTAGGCTGGCTGGAAATAAAAGTCTGAAAAAAAGAGTATTAAGAAATAAAGAGAAAAGACACAAGAAATTAGTTAAAGCAGGGGCTTTAGGAGTGAAAAAGACCTGATGGGTCTGATCCTAACAAAGGGAAAAGACAAATGATTTATACTGAAACACACCAAAGGAATTCATCCTGAGGAAGGGTTCTTTAAGATAAACAAGAAGCATGAGATTGTGGGGAAGTTGGCCCGCTTGAGGACGTATCACTTGCACAATAATTCTTCCTCCTCCAGGCAGCTGGCTCCTCAAGATTACTTGGGCACACTGATATCTCTTTCCACTCCCTGTGAAGTTGCATTTGAACCAATGAATTTCACGGTATCACAGAATTCTCTCTGAGCAGGACATTGCCAAGGCAATGAAGCAGTCTCATATGGGTGACATGACCCTAAGACTTCTCCAAAGGGCACACCTCTGCTTAGAGATGACTCAGACAAGCCCACAATTCATTTGTGGCTCCCAACAGTGAGGGTTTTTAAGAGGCAATTAAGGTTGAATAACATCATAGGGTAGGATAGGTGACCTTAGAAGAGGAAGAGATCTCTCTCTACCACATGCACCATGGGAAAGTTGTATGAGCACACAGTAGGAAAGTAGCAGTCTACAAACCAGCAAGAGAGCCCACACCAGAGGTCAATCATGCTGGCATCTGATCTTGGACTTTTTAGCCTGTCAAATTGAGAAAATAAATTCCTGTTGTTTAAAAATGAAAGATAATTATGAAATACATATCAAAACATTACATGGTACCCATTACTATGTGCAATTCTGCATTTTCATGTCTCAGATTTGTTTTTTTTATCTTTTTAAAACTGAAAGTCAAAGCATGATCACTAAGTAATATGGCAGAAGGTAAACAGTTGGTATTCTGAGGCAGTCTACTTAGAAAGGTCTATACCAAGTTGTGGGGTGTCTGATAGGGAAGCCAAACGTGGACATGAAGGGTCCAGGAAGTGGCCCTGAAATTTGGAAATAGAGATATGTGTCAAGGGGTTAAAAATGAACACATGTGAGGTGAGTTAAGCACCATAATGTCCCAGACGAATTAACAAGACAGAGTGTCAGGAACTAGTGGCAAGGTGAGAACCAAGACAACTCCAAATCTAGGCAGAAATTAACACCAAGTCTAGAATCTAGAATATAGTAAGCATGACTCTTAAATTCTCTCCTTACCCCACAAAACCTTCCCTTCCTCCCTCCCTTACTACCCTACTATGAATCTAAGAATTAGTCCCCAAATCTTAAAAATTCTGACAGCAGAGGGGAGAAGATTAAAAGGTTAGGAATCTCCAGGAGAGAAATAATTTAACATTCAATTATCTAAGTAATTATGTGTGTAATAACCAGCATTATAATGTAAATCACACTCATTATCTACTTTTTCTAAGATTAAAAAAAAAAAGCTCATCTGATAAAGATTTGCAATTTGAATCAGAAGACAGGATTTTGAGTAAAGGACACTGTTACCTGACAGATAAACATTATGATATTCAAAATTCTTCATCCCTTCAAGTGGATTAGTAGTCTAACGTACAGACCTGGGAGTTGGTAAACTATCTACAAAAGGAGAATTTAATATGCTGCCTCTTGTCTGTGAAAACGCATTCATCTTAAACCAAGAGCTGAAATATTGCCAGTGTCCAAGACACATCTATTTCTTTGAAGCAGGTGAATATTTAAGCCAAATTTCTTTCCTACTATATTATAATTTACTCCAGTTGGTAAAATCCAGAATATTTTCCAAATACTAGTAATCAGCAAAAATTATAGTATTTAGGTAAATTCAAAGTCTATAATTTTCACAAGAAGAATTCTTTACAATGAATGTAAGTTTTGCTTTCAAATATATCTCTGGTAGAATGTTTACCATTAAGTTTGAAATGGAATAAGTTCACAGAATGTCATTTTTATAGAAAAAAATAAGAACGGAAATTTTCATTGACCATCTTGAATGGATTATATATATATATAATATGTCTACATATTATATATATTAGAAGCATTATTTTCCAAATGTCTCCAGATAATCTTAGATATAAACTACAAAATCAACTTTTCTCTTTCTACTCTGATTTGTTTCTAAATTTGTTTTTCTTCTTACATATTGCAAATCAAATTAGATCCATAATGAAAACCATATGATGTTTTTTCATTATCTTTATTAATGGCAATATGTAAGTATACATTCATAAGCAATATTTCAACAATCTACAATTTAATATCAATTGTATGAAGTTCAATATTGTAAATAACCATGAGGTCTGAGACATTAGCAAGACTGAATGTACACTTTAAAATAGTATCAAAAATCTTGACTGAACAGATTAAGACATTATTTTGGAATCTTTATTGGTTTAATATCATATTGCTATGTAATAAACTGTTCTCCGGAACAGGAGGATTCAATTTTAGTATTTCACATTCAGAAGGATCACTGGTTCTTACCCCATGCAGCACAGCCTATTTTTCCCTCTTTTCTAAAAGAAGTCAGTCCAAACTCCAATGATATGTCAACTAAAACCACAACAGTTTCTTCTGTTCTGTTTCAGTTCACTTTTGTAGGCTGATATACTGGTGAAATAATGGGTTACACTTCAAGAGCACAGAAAGGAGAAAAGGACCTAAGTACTAATTAAATTTGAAATCTATAAATTCCTAAAATGATAAATACACAGGAGGATGTGGTAATTCCAAATGTCAGCCTCATTTTCATGGAACTTCTAAAAATTTTTAATAATGCTTTAATTTTTCACCTTTATATAAAAGTGAAGGTCCATTTTTAACAAAGGTCTTTAAAGAGACCAAATGCAAACTCGGATATCATGTTCTTAAGTTTAAAAAGTGCGGTGTGTGCAGCTGAGTTACCAGGTTGCACTTTCATACCCTTGCTGTACCTTTGGCAATACAGAGAAACCACCATAAATCATCTCCTGGCTGTATACAATTAATTTTATGTTCTGTACTTGTCCTCCTCTATGTTTTATGCTATTTCTTTTTATATTTGATTTTGGAGGTCATTTTTGGTTTGAGGTAAAATACCCAAGCTTAATATTAAAATATTGCTAGGTGATATCCTAGGAACAAGTTGTTATAACCAAATTCAGGGTCACCTTTTTCTACAAGTTTTAAAATTAACTGTCAAAAACTGTCAAAAGAAACATAACCTGTACCTCCCTACCTCTTTTGAATATTAGAAGATATTCAGTGGCTTTATTGCATAAAGTCTTAAAAGGGTAAACCATTTCTACTGTCACTGCTTACTTTCACAGGGATGCTTTATCTTATTTATTATCACCTTACAAGTGTTTTGAGACTTCATCAGAATTTCTTATCATTTAGTTGATTTGCAGTAAAACAGGAGAAAACCTTTTTTAATAATTTTCAGAATAGCTATTCTTCCAGACGGGAGCCTACGGATACTAAATGCTTCTAAGTCAGATGAAGGGAAGTACGTTTGCCGAGGGGAAAACATCTTTGGTTCTGCTGAAATAATAGCATCTGTATCTGTAAAAGGTAAGAAAATGTAGCTAACATCTTAGAAGCCTAGTTTCATGCCCATATAAGAAAATAAGTATGACTTGCACCTGTGTATGTTTGCACTTAAGTGTGTACATGCCTGCTTCTAAACCATATTACAAACAGCATTAACACACCCAAATCGTCACTTTCTATCATTTAGGAAACCAAGCAAAAAAGAACCCATTGTTGGTTAAAATTCAATATTTTGCTCTGAACAAAACTTATAAGGTAAAGGGCTTTTTTTTTGAAATGTCTCAAAATATTAACACTAGCAACATAAAGGAAATTTCCCTCCACTTGGTTTGGGGATATAGCTCAGTAGAACATTTGCCTGGTGTGTACTGGGCCTGGGGCTCCATCCTTAACACCACAAGAAAAAATTTTTTCTGTACTAAAACTAATTTTAACATCAGTCAGGAATATTCCTTTGTTGCCACATCAACTGGGGATTTAGACCCAGAGGAGTAGCAAAAAGAGGATATCTATGAGTAGTAGAGCCAGGGGTATAGATCAGATAAATTGGTGCTAGTGGTGCTCATTGAGGTTTGCACCAATGGAATTTCTTATATACTTACACTTTTAGTATGATACATATTATTTCTAATATGTATGTTCTCTGGTTCTAATACAACTAGATTTCAAGACAAGAACATGGTTTTGAGACTATGTGTTATTGTTTAGTAGTAAAAAGAATAATCTCATATCTTAGGAGCAAAGCAAAGAGACATTTTTCACAACTGAATTATATCCTTGACTTTTTTTCCATTATGCATGTATTATATACCAAATCAAACTTTGACCATAAAATATGACATTTTTTAGGTTTGGAAAATGAACAAAGTTCTGTGGACGGCAGTAATGATTTACAACATTGTGAACATATTTAGTGCTAATAAAACTGTTAATTTTTCTGTGTCTTTAGAAATGCAAATGTAATCAAAATACCCAGCACTATGACAGCTTGGAAGGAAGGCAAACATTAAGTGTAGGAGAGAACATAATTTAAAATATGTTTTCATTTATATTATATATGTTATTGGGATCCAACCCAATCTTCCAGTCATATGTCTTATTCTGTGTGCTAATCAGTTTTGTTCTTTTCATAATGAGGTAATGCTGGGTCCACAGACCATTTTTGGTGGAGAGGTTAAGGAGGGGAATGGGGATTGAACCCAGGGTAAGCCACATCTCCACCTCTTTTTATATTTTATTTAGAGACAGGATCTTGCTAAGTTGTTTAGGGCCTTGCTAAATTGCTCAGACTGGCTTTAAATTCATGATCCTCCTGCCTCATCTTCCCAAACCTCTGGGATTATAGTGTACCACTCTTCCCATCCCACAGACTTTCATGATCATAATAATGGGTTTTGTAAATCATGAGTTAAATGGGATATTTAGTGATTCAGAATACTTCAATTTCCACAAAATTCTGACTACAGTATATTATGTTTATCTGACTTCTTCAATAAAGCCAGAACTTGGAATGCCACATAGAATATTTGAGCTCTAAAATGCTAATAGTTATAGTGGAATTCCTGTTTTAGAATTTCATTTTCTTCTCAGGAGCTACTCAGGTCTTTGGATATTAAAGAAAGTGATAGGTGATGAGGAGTAGTGCTTTCTCAGACTGTATTCTTGTGAACAATAGAGGTAGAGTAGGAAAATCAAGCTAATTATTAATCAACATGTCATATTTCTTGTGGCATCTATACCCATGAATCTAATTAGTAAAAAAATCAAAATTGTGTCTACATTACCCTCTACTTCATTTAAAACATGTCACATTGCAGTCACTTAATTACTCATTTCACCCTTAGATGCATAGCTGTATTAGTTACTGTAATCCCAGTAAAAAAAAAAATGTGTCATTTTCAAAATTTAACCAAACCATGTAGTTAAACATTTTTTTTCCTCCAAAAACATTTTCATTCAGTGTTTTTGCCTTTAATTATACCAACCATAATCTATTCAAAGTGAAATTTTATAATCATGCAGAAGGTACCTTCCTACTCTTTTCTATTCAGAGAGTTTTTTGGAATGAAAAGTAAGTATAAGTAGTATAGTAGTAGAATAATATTTTTATCCCTACTGAGATAGTAATTTGGAGGGAGGTTCTTTCTTTTGCCTTATAGCCTCTAGGAGCCTTTAAGGCACAAACATCCCTGCAATTCTTCCTTCTGAGATAAGGAGCATTTTTTAATTTATAAGTTGTCCATGGACTTGTTTATTTAATTATATGGGGTGCTGAGAATTGAACCTAGTGTCTCACATATGCCAGGCAAGTGCTCTACTGCCACTGAGCCACAACCCCAGCCCTGTTACTTATCATTTTTGATCCTTTTATGTACTTGATGATCCTTTAAGTTGCTCAGAGAGACTGCAGCTTCTCTTTTCTAATGCTTCTTCCAGGATGCCAAATGTTGCTTCTAGTTTTGTTGTTTCTTGTAGTGTCTTGTCATTTTTTGTTTGTTTTTTCCTAAATCCAGGGACTCCAAATTCATTAGTCATCTACAAAAGCATAAGAAAATATCCTAGCTTCCTAAAAGCTAAGATTTCACTGAAAAATTTGGTGTATGTATCTGGAGCAGTTGTATTTGTATAGAATCCTTATATAAGTTTTTTCCTGCTATTCAAAATGATACAGGCTGCATGGGGAAAACCCTGTTGATTATTTTAATTAATATATTTTTGCTTCCATAGAACCTACAAGGATAGAACTTACTCCTAAAAGAACAGAGTTAACTGTTGGAGAAAGTATAGTCCTTAATTGCAAAGCAATTCATGATGCTAGTTTGGATGTCACTTTCTACTGGACGCTAAAAGGACAGCCTATTGATTTCGAGAAAGAAGGTGGACATTTTGAAAGCATCAGGGCCGTAAGTTTATACACTTTTATTTTCAAGTAGTAATAAGAAATTTTGACTCAATATAAAATGTTTTTATATATAAAGAGTTATTAAAAGTAGGAAAGATATGATTAAAACAATTACTTTCTTCTATGTCATGTCAAACTGAAAATAATAATTCTTTTAAAACTCCAGTAAAAAAAATTGAAAGATATTATTATGTGAATTTGGTTTCTTTGCCACTTTAAAAAAATGTTTTAATAGTATTGTAAATATTTACATATTACTTCTCACATTATATTGCTACATAAAATGGTCACTGCATTATTTAGCTTTGCTCACAGTAATTATGCTACAGTAATGAATGAAGTTAGTCTGCCTGTCCTACTCCTCCATAGTAGTAATTTGGGGATATTCTTTAGTTTCTCACGAGGTGTAGAAATTCAACATGCATACCATAGTCACGATTGGACATAGTCTTAAACATTCATGGACATTCTCGTTTCTTGTCTGCCAAGTTTTTTATTTTTAATATCTGTTTATATTATGTATCTACATGGCATTCAGTCAATTGAAGTAGGAAATCTTGTGAACCAGATACTACAGAATAATATCAGTATCTTAGCTTTATAGAGAAGTAAAAAGAATACCCCTTCCCCTACTGACTTCATGAAAATATAAAGGAGCACCATAGTGACAGGAGAACTCATGGAACTCAGCTAGCAGGGAGATCTTGAATGAAATTGTCCTTCTGTATTGGCTGAAAAGAGATCCAAATATATATTTACCCCTCACCCCAATCATCCAATTTAAATGCTGTCATATACTTCCTAATATCAGTTTATTCTTTCCTAAACACTATGGGAAGCTTTGGAAAACCATGGGTAGTGAACCCAGATATTTAAACTCACTTGTATTGGATTTTATTTTAAAGATCATATGATACAGTAAAAAAAGTCCTGGACCCAAAGTTAGGAATTCTGTGGATGGAATTTCAGCCCAATCCCTAATCATCTCTGTAACATAAAGGTGGTCATTTGATTTGACTGGACCTCAATCTCATAGAGAAGTGAAAAATTTGTGCCAGATAATTTCTAAAATCCCTCTCACTTTAGATTTAATAAATGCATAGTAGTAACAGAGTAAAGATAAACTCTCCTTGTTGCATTTGCCAATGTAACCAAAATTAAACACTCTGTTCCAAATTATTCCTTCCATCCTTGTTTACTCTGCAATTAATGATAGAGACTATATAAATAACAGATGATTACCTACTGCATTAGTCACCATCTCATTAAATCAATTTCAATTATCTATGGCTAAGTTATATGCAAAATATTTAGATTATGTTAAACTCATTTGAGTTGATAATTCCTTTATATGAATTTAATAATGTAAATGCCATAAAACAGAAACAGGATAATATGATACAAAAATATTACTTTTGACAGCAAAACAAGTACCACTAAAAATATTTTCTTAGGATTATCTATAAACATTCCTTTGAGTGATCAGATATATAAAGTAAAAATATCTCCAAAATTACCAATTCCTTCATAGAAACAGACTTAGGGCCTGGAGATATAGCTCAGTTGGTAGAGTGCTTACCTTGCATGTACAAGGCCCTGAGTTCAATACCCAGCTTCCCCCGCCCAAAAAAGAAAGGAAAGAAACAGACCTTCTTTTTTGAATATGTTGAAGTTATGACAATTTTTGCTTATGCCTCTTAGACATTACCACTCTTGGTCAATGTCATTTATTTGTATAAATATGTATCTTGAATGTTTTTCACAAATACCTGCTCTATCCCCTCTTTGTACATATACTGTCCCTTGAGAAATACAAAACCAATCCCTTACTCCATGCAAACCCATATACATACAAGACATTTAAAATCATGCTTTGGAATGAGAAAATATCTATCTTGAAGACACTTTTAGTATACTTACAACAATTTATAAAAATATATCCTTAAAATATTTGGTAGCATCAAAACTGTGCAATGTAAAAGAGATCTTCTATCACCTTTCTCAACACTTTCAAAAACTAAATGAGTTCTGGCTAGAAAGAACACCACTGCATGACAATGGAAGGGCAAGGCAAGAAGGAACAATGTTCTGTCCCACTCTTCTTCCTCTCCCCATAAATGTATCTGCTTTAGGAGGAGAAATAAAATTGTCATTAGAAGGGAGAGTGGGGAAGCCCTCTAGATTTGTAAATACCTTCTGGGAGGAGGAAAGATTCATTCTGGAAGTCAGAGAGACAGAACTGTTCTCAGAGAAAAATCTCAGTAAGTACTCCTAAGGCCTGATCTGTACTCCAAAGAACCACCTTTCAAAGGATGTTGAGGTCTCACCTTAGGGGTCCGGGGTGGTACAGAAGAGCAAGAAAGACAAATGGGACTGGGGGCTTCAGTAGGAATAGAGTATGGCTTTAACTGGAATGTTCTGGAAGCTGCTGTTCTGGGATGGTATGCTGGAGATGGGTGATTCAATGTGGTTGAATCAGAAAAGAAAGAGGAAAACACTTTAGTACATTAAAAAACCAATCAGCCAAACCTCAGGGATGAAAAGAAAAGATCAAAAATATTTTGATATTGAACACCTTATACATACAAAAATATGACATAATTGTGTTCTTAACTAGTTTAGATGTTTTTTATATACAGCTATTTGTAGATAAAAGTAGTTGAATTTTTATGTGTACACTTTATGTAACATGTAATGTCATGTTTTACATAGACTACTGTTTTTGGATGACTGCATTTCAGGAGAGTGAGTACATAAACATGTTTTTAAAAAAATAGTATTGCTTTAAAATTTAAATTAAAACATCTATAATGAAAATGCTTCTAATTCTCTTGCCCTTTGTCCTGAGACCACATTTAATAAACCTGGCAATTTGACTAATTTGGAGTAAAACCATTACCAAAGCCACAGTTATAAGGGGCCAGGCAATCAGTCCATAAACATTTGATCCGGTTCTCCTAAATCACTTCTGGCAAACAATATGAACAAACTGAATGTATAAATTATCAAATCTATTCTTAAGATTTTAATTCAATCCAGTTTCATCTGCTCAGTGTTGTGGGGGATACAAAGAAGACATGGCCCTTCACCACTGAGAAGGCACAATTGATTGAGAGAGAGCAGGATGAGCTAGAGACCTATCCTCTGCATGCATACAGGCAGGAGAAGTCAGTTTTTGAAATGTATCTGGATAGGTAGAATTTTGCCAGGTGCCTAGAACAAAATGCTTTGCCATACAGAGCAGACCGGTCAAAAAGACAAAAGGCAGAAGAGTTTGGGCCATGTCTGAGTAAAAATGTGGAACCAGATGCCTGGACAGCACAGTGAGGATACACAGTAGACAATAAGTCAATATTTGTTGATTAAATTTCAAGGAGAGCAGTGGAGGCTTCATTGTAAAAGGCACTGATTTCTGAGCTGTAGAATTTGGTTGTATTTTGAATGTAGCAGGGAGCCACATGGTTCACATTTATTTTTTGAGAAGATAATTTTGACAGCTAAGTGGAGCAAGGATTGAATAGTTCATGGATTTAAATTCAGTCTAGACTGGTGAAGTAGAAGTTACAGTGAGGAGACAGACATTACAACCTCTGGTACTGAATAACCATATTATTAAATAAAAGCATTTACCACTATTTTGACACAATTGTTGATGTTGTTCAGAGCTCTGCAGGAACCTCTGCTCCCTCAATGTCTGAATAGCACCCAAGTGTCACCATCTGCCCCAAAGCCACAGTCTTAATGGAGGGCTCTGGTGATGCATTGCTTTCCAGAGACTTAAAATGTCCTAGTCATTTGGAATATAATCAAGCTTTAATCCTTATAATGCATAAAGAACTATTACACTGAATATCATGGAAGCCTGCAATTTGCTGTTTTTTTTGACAGAGAAAAACATGTTACACCTTTGTGATCAGGATGGTCTGCTAAAAAAAAAAAACTAAAAAAAAACACAACACTGTGCTTTCCATTTTGTGACCTCCCCATTGCAAAGTTGCTAAATTACAACTATACAGGCAACCAAGCCAGGGTTCCATGCAACTGCACTATTTGCAGGACCCTTTACCCAATTCTCTGGTTAAAGCAATAATGGGAACAAAAACATAGAAAGCACAATGGGGATTTTGACCTCCTTTTTAATGAGGAAACTGAAGAGTAACACTTTTTCAGACCATGCCAATGAATATTAAGTTGAGCTAACAATTAAGTTGAGAATCAATATAACATTTAGTTATAACACAATTTTAAATGTTATATTGATTCTCCCTTATAAATCATACTCTATTTGTATTCACTTACTACTTATTATGTGTTCAGTCCTAACCTGGGGGAAATAAAAATAAAAGGAAGTTTTGATCCCAGTCTTCAGGAAGCACAAAATGATGCAGAATATGAAGTAATTCAAGAAAAATATGACCACAGGAAAACTGTTGCTATTATTTTTAAATTATATCCAAGTATTGTTAGAGACCAGAAAAGAGAAAGATTTGATCTTTTACATTGTAGAGAAAAGAACAAGGAATTAATTAAGCAATATACAGTATGTGAATAATTGAACACTCACTCTGATTTCTCTTAACAACCTAAGAGTTTTATTATTGGGGGAAACGTGCTAACTGACCCAGACCCAAGAGGGTAGAATTAGGACAGAGAGAGTAGAAAGGAAAGGACAATCTCAAGTTTTGAGGGATGTTGGAGATTATGAATAGAGTTTGAAGTTTTTCCTAGACTGATATGTGGATTCTCCTTTGGAGTTAGCAATCTTTTAACGCCAAGTAATCCACAGTATGTTACTTTACCACATTTGGATATCGGAAAATAGGAGTAATTTTCATAACCTTTATTCTAAGAATCATAAACAAATATTTCTGATTTGTATCCATGGCTTTTGAGAATTACTGGGTAGATAAAAAGGAGCCAGAATATAAGCCCCTTAATGCCTGAGAATTTTGTATTAGCTGAAAAGCTCTAGCCCAATTTCAATTTTCTTATCACATACTT